ATTTTCCCCCCTTTTCCCCCCTTTTTCCCCCCTTTCCCCCATTTTTTCCCATTTTCCCCCTTTTCCCCCCATTTTTTCCCACTTTCCCCCGTTTTCCCCCCGTTTTTTCCCACTTTCCCCCCTTTTCCCCCCGTTTTCCCCGCTCACCCACGGTGTGGATGGGCCTGCGGAAGGGCAGCAGCCCGAAGTTGTACTGGAAGATTCCGCGGGCGTGGAACAGCGGCAGCGCCACCCCCAGAACCTTCTGGAGCCGCAGCTGGAGGCGCCGGAGCCGCGAGCCCGGCGGGTTCGGAACCTGCCGGAACAGCTCGTTCTCCCCGAAACTGAACACCGGGACCAGCGGGGTCCTGCCGGAAAACAACCGGAGAAAACAACGGGGGAACAATGGGAGAACAACGGGAGAACAGCGGGAAAGGAACAGGAGAACGACGGGGAAACAACGGGAGAACAACAGGGAAACAATGGGAGAACAGCGGGAAAACAATGGGGAAACAACGGGAGAACAATGGGAGAACAACGGGAGAACAACAGGAGAACAACGGGAGAACAATGGGAGAACAATGGGGAAACAACGGGAGAACAACGGGAAATCAATGGGAGAACAATGGGAGAACAACAGGAAAACAACGGGAAAACAACGGGAGAACAATGGGAAAACAATGGGGAAACAATGGGGAAACAATGGGAGAACAACGGGAGAACAACGGGAGAACAATGGGAAAAATCAACGAGAGAACAATGGGAAATCAATGGGAGAACAATGGAAGAACAACAGGAAAACAACGGGAAAACAATGGGAGAACAACAGGGAAACAATGGGAGAACAATGGGAGAACAACAGAGAAACAATGGGAGAACAGCGGGAAAACAATGGGGAAACAACGGGAGAACAACGGGAGAACAACGGGAGAACAACGGGAGAACAATGGGAGAACAATGGGAGAACAACAGGAAAAATCAACGAGAGAACAATGGGAAAACAACGGGAGAACAATGGAGAACAACGGGAAAAATCAATGAGAGAACAACGGGAAATCAATGGGAGAACAACAGGAAAACAATGGGAAAACAACGGGAGAGCAACAGGGAAACAATGGGGGAACAGCGGGAAAACAATGGGAAAACAACGGGAGAACAACGGGAGAACAACAGGAAAACAACGGGAGAACAACGGGAGAACAATGGGAGAACAATGGGAGAACAACAGGAAAAATCAACGAGAGAACAATGGGAAAACAACGGGAGAACAATGGAGAACAACGGGAAAAATCAATGAGAGAACAACGGGAAATCAATGGGAGAACAACAGGAAAACAATGGGAAAACAACGGGAGAGCAACAGGGAAACAATGGGAGAACAGCGGGAAAACAATGGGAAAACAACGGGAGAACAACGGGAGAACAACAGGAAAACAACGGGAGAACAACGGGAGAACAATGGGAGAACAGGAAACAATGGGAGAACAATGGGAGAATAACAGGAAACAACGGGAGAACAATGGGAGAACAATGGGGAAAAATCAACGAGAGAACAATGGGAAAACAACGGGAGAACAATGGGAAACAACAGGGAAACAACAGGAAAACAACAGGAAATCAATGGGAGAACAACGGGAGAACAGCGGGAGAACAGCGGGAAATCAACGGGAGAACAACGTGAGAACAATGGGAGAACAATGGGAGAACAACAGGAAACAACGGGAGAACAATGGGAATTATTGGGGGACCCAAAATTTGGGATACGGGAAAAGAATCCATCCTGGGAATGCCAAAAATCCACTTTGGGAACCCCAAACCCCCCAAACCCCCCAAATCGAAGCCCCCAGACCCAAATCGAAGCCCCCAGACCCAAATGGAAGCCCCCAGACCCAAATCGAAGCCCCCAGACCCATTTCATGCCCACCCGTGTTTGAGGGCGATGCGCACGAAGCCCCTCCAGCACCCCAAATCCCCCCCAAACCCCCCAAATCGAAGCCCCCAGACCCATTTCATGCCCACCCATGTTTGAGGGCGATGCGCACGAAGCCCCTCCAGCACCCCAAATCCCCCCCAAACCCCCCAAATCGAAGCCCCCAGACCCATTTCATGCCCACCCATGTTTGAGGGCGATGCGCACGAAGCCCCTCCAGCACCCCAAATCCCCCCCAAACCCCCCAAATCGAAGCCCCCAGACCCATTTCATGCCCACCCATGTTTGAGGGCGATGCGCACGAAGCCCCTCCAGCACCCCAAATCCCCCCCAAACCCCCCAAATCGAAGCCCCCAGACCCATTTCATGCCCACCCATGTTTGAGGGCGATGCGCACGAAGCCCCTCCAGCACCCCAAATCCCCCCCAAACCCCCCAAATCGAAGCCCCCAGACCCATTTCATGCCCACCCATGTTTGAGGGCGATGCGCACGAAGCCCCTCCAGCACCCCAAATCCCCCCCAAACCCCCCAAATCGAAGCCCCCAGACCCATTTCATGCCCACCCATGTTTGAGGGCGATGCGCACGAAGCCCCTCCAGCACCCCAAATCCCCCCCAAACCCCCCAAATCGAAGCCCCCAGACCCATTTCATGCCCACCCATGTTTGAGGGCGATGCGCACGAAGCCCCTCCAGCACCCCAAATCCCCCCCAAACCCCCCAAATCGAAGCCCCCAGACCCATTTCATGCCCACCCATGTTTGAGGGCGATGCGCACGAAGCCCCTCCAGCACCCCAAATCCCCCCCAAACCCCCCAAATCGAAGCCCCCAGACCCATTTCATGCCCACCCATGTTTGAGGGCGATGCGCACGAAGCCCCTCCAGCACCCCAAATCCCCCCCAAACCCCCCAAATCGAAGCCCCCAGACCCATTTCATGCCCACCCATGTTTGAGGGCGATGCGCACGAAGCCCCTCCAGCACCCCAAATCCCCCCCAAACCCCCCAAATCGAAGCCCCCAGACCCATTTCATGCCCACCCATGTTTGAGGGCGATGCGCACGAAGCCCCTCCAGCACCCCAAATCCCCCCCAAACCCCCCAAATCGAAGCCCCCAGACCCATTTCATGCCCACCCATGTTTGAGGGCGATGCGCACGAAGCCCCTCCAGCACCCCAAATCCCCCCCAAACCCCCCAAATCGAAGCCCCCAGACCCATTTCATGCCCACCCATGTTTGAGGGCGATGCGCACGAAGCCCCTCCTGCGCAGCAGCTGCAGCCGGAGCCCCCCCGGCCGCGCCTCCAGCGCCTCCGGGGGTCCCCCCAGGGCGATCACGGCCACGCGGCCCCCCCGGGGCTGAGCCAGGAGGTGCTCGAGGCTGGAGGGGTCCGAGGAAACCAGACCTGGAATTCCGGGAAAAATCGGGAATTCTGGGGGGGGGGAACACGGGAGAAACCCGGGAAAATCCGGGAATCGGGGGGGAAATCCGGGAATTGGGGGAAATCTGGGAATT